AGTATTGTAATAGTGCTTAAAAATCACAGGGAATTGTGTTAGTTTTCATCGTTTTTCACCTCAGTACTTCATCATATACGGAGCGCAAGGGACTTATTTTAATCGGGCAAAAAAAATGTAGATTTAACAAAATTCCAGCGTAGTATTCGGAAAAAAACTGGGCTTTGCAATTCTGTCCGTATGTCTCTGTGTGTGTATTTGTGAACACAATAACGAGTAACGTTACACCTAGGTTGACGACATTTCATATATAAGGATTATATCACATTTGTAGTTCTTATTCAACTTTTCACCGATTTACGGTAACTTAGGCGGAACTTATTTTAATTTTGGTTTCTCAAAAACCTATGACTTTACTACTATTTCAGATAGACAAACAAAATTTCAAACATAAGTAAAATATCTAATCCCTTGTCTTCTGTTAAATTTTGATTAATTTCTGTTGACCGGAAATAGTGATATACGAAATTTCCAATTTTAAAAAAACAACTTCCAGTGCAATAATGTGATAGAAATTATTGTATTGTTATTTCAAAACCTATTTTTTAAAAGACAGAATTGAATCGTATATAGAAAAAAAATTAACACAAAGAGAACAAAGGACAAATGAGTGGAGGATTAATGCTGTATAAATTCAACTTAGTTACCTTTGACGAAAAAAAGGAGAAGAATTAGTACTATGTACGAGCTTAAATAGAACTTAAAATATGCCAGTATTAAGTCTGAAAAAGATCTTACACAAATGTATAAAATGTGGTCTATTGATACGTTACTTCCTTTATCGGTATTTTTAAAACCAGAAACAGAGTAAACTACCTTTTGTGTTATTGGAGAACACTCAAAAATTGGAAGTAATGAAGTTATTGTATTTCCAGTTAAGATTTCCTGTTATTAAAAAACCGACTTAAGTTGAAATTACCTTATGCATTCAATGTATACTTATGTCTCATTTCGTCCATCTAACCTAAGAGTTTTTCAAGTTATTGGGTTTTGGTAAACGGAAGTAAAATAAGTACCACTTTTGGTTACCGACAAATTATTTAAAACTTGGATAAAGAACTACACATTCGATATTATGATTATTTATTTAATTTCATCAACATAAATTAAACTGAATTCAAGTTATTGTCTCCACAGGTGACAGACGCAAAGACATACGGACAAAATTGCAAAACTTAGTTTTTCCGTCTCAGCGAAGTGTGAAACGTCAAGATTTGTCAAGATCTTGTTTTTGATTTTTTGAACGGTTACAATACATCCTCGGTACTGTGAATACAAGAATGTAAACAATGTTTATAATGAAACTTACAATCCATGCAGTAATCACCGACTCTGTTAGGCATACATTCTTTACAAACTCCGGTGAACTGGCAGTCTTGGTGTCTACACGTTATACTACATATGTGGTCACAGTGTATGCCATACCTTCTTTTCGTACATTCTAAAATTAGATATTGTTTGTAGTTAACTAGAATCATATAGAATCATTAATACAAGAATCATATATATACACATATTATATATATATATATATATATATATATATATATATATATATATATATATATATATATATGTGTGTGTGTGTGTGTGTGTGTGTGTGTGTTACGGTGAAAGCCCGAAGTCGGCCAATGCGCGGATCGGCCAATATCGCCTCCCATAGGTCGGTCAAAGTCTGAAACTTTGCTTGAATTCGGCCTTTGGCCGGCCAGTCCGCGTACTTTTATGCCGTAAGGATCATGAAATTAAGTCTTCATTGATTATTAATTAAAGTAAATGACAGAAACATTCACATTTTTTATTGTACTATAGTCACAATCAATCAATATTATTATTTGTTACAAAAAGTTGAACTTTTATTACATAGCAGCTTGTTATTTTTACACTTGCAGCTATATAGTGTGCACTTATTTGTGCAATTGCAGCAAGTGTAGCCTTGGCCCCCAATCAATGATTGTGAAGATGCAATGGTTCATAGTGATTTTTCCTCAGTGCAAACTGACGACAAGAAGAGCAGTTTTCCGTGAAGAATTGAAATCTCACTTCTAGCATACAGTTGTTTTAGAACACCATGTTCCGTTCCTAATTTGTAGAAACCGCCCTCGACGCTCATAACAACAGCAATCACGCTTCGGGTATCACCGCGACCTCTGTCAACATCTGGAACACGGATGCGTACATTGTCACCCACTTCACCATCTTTAAATTTTGTATTTGATGTTTTAAGCATCTTAGCACCTTGAGTTTGCAAGTCAGTATGAGCTGCTGACCTGTGTTCCATGATGTCTTGTTTGTTGTGACACAATCTGCAGGTAATGTTCCCTCCGTACCTTCGTCTGCTTCGTTGGGTATTCCACAAATAGCATGGAGATCGTTGCCACAGGATCCACAAGAATGGGCTGCACTACAATGTTTTTCACAAACTATACATAATCTGTTGGCCACATTATTGTCACGCAACTGGTCTGGACGTTGCGCCACGGCAGTAGATGTGTTAGCCTAGGAAGAGAGCCGGCCAATGCGCGGATTGGCCGGCAATTTCCGCGCTTTGGCCGCACTTCGGGCTTTGATCGTAACATATTTATATATATATATATATATATATATACATATATATATATATATATATATATATATATATATATATATATATATATATATGATTCTTTTATTGCTATTATATTATGTTATGTAGTTATTATCGTGCCAGTAAGGTAATTTGTATTTAACACAATTATTCGACATCGTCATTCAAAAACGTTTTAAAGATAAGTCAAATGCATATTTTTTTCATGTTTACAGCATTCCTCCTCTACAGACAATGCAGACATTGCCTGGTATTATGTTTGAGCTCTCGGCTGCTAACCTAACAGTTTTGAGTTTGGATCTTGACATAATACTGAGCATTACATTCTTTTTTATCCCATGGATTTCTAAACTGATGAACTCTACTTCATCTACCATAATAAAGAACATACATTGTTAATTAATAGTGACATTTAACATTGGTAATTTTATACATACATCGCCTATCAACTAACTTGAAAAAGTAAAAGTTTGGCTAGCAACTGAACAAAAATATTAAAAAAACTAAAAAAAATAATTCTTTAAGATAATAGCTTTTCTATACAGCCAATCCAATTTTTGTTACAAAAGTGTAACTAATATAAAACATTGAACTGTTGTTAGAAATTAAAAGAAGTTGTTAGCATTTGCACCATTAGTAATATTGATTTAAAAAAAAATATTAAATCGGGTACTTTTTTCATTTTTATTACTGTTTTCTTTTTAATGGTCATATCAGACAAAAATGATTGACACAATATAAAAAAAAAGTTTTAATAGCAAACTGTAAATAAAAATGCCTTTTAAAACATGGATTTCTTTAAATATAAAAAAGTTTGTTATTTAAATGTATATAAAAAATCAATCAATTAATAGATTAATTAAAAATTTTCAAAGCCAAGAGAAATAAATTACCACCATATGCCTGAATTCCACACATTGGTAAAACATTGCTTGTGCTTAAAACGATTTTCATGATGAAATCATGTTTATCAAAGTTGAATTCGTGTATGAATGCAAAGTGATCTAAAGCTCTGGAAAACACAAGCCTGTCTTCATCGTTGAACATTTCGACAATAATATTATTCAGAGATGTATCCGAAGTTTCTACAAAATATAAAAATTATTATTCAGAGATATATCCGAAATTTTTAGAAAATATCAAATAGTAAATAAAACATTTTCAGAAAGTAAAATTATTATTCGTCTTAATGAAGTTTTTCTCTGTCTCTTTCACACATTCAAATATACACACATATATATGTATGTATATGTATATGTACATACATATATACACATATGTATGTATAGTTAGATATATAGTAGATGTATATATATATATATATATATATATATATATATATATACGTATATATATATATATATATATATATATATATATATATATATATATATACATATATAAAACAATTAAATACATTGCAATAAACTTAGCTTATGCTAATCTGTCTAATCTTCATATATTCATTTTTAATAATCATATGTATGGATTTCTTAAAATATATACTTTCTTACCTTGTGTATGTATTACAATCTGATAGACTTCACGCGGCCAATCAAATTTTGATTCCAAACTGATTTTTTTCCCAGGCCTTTTTATAATTAAACAATTTTCCTCGATATTTTCATGTACGTAATTTATGCTGTGACTGTGGTTGTCAAAGCTTATGGCAACATTTGCTTCTTTTATAAGATCTCTTCCTAATTGAAAATGGTAAGTATTTTAAATTATTAGAAGAAGCAATGTGTCGAAATATGAAGATATTAACGGCTAAAGCTTAAATATAAATTATCATATAAAAATACTAACCACCGTTTACTTGGAGTTTGCAAATGGAAGCATTTGAATTAAATATGATTTTAATTTCAGTTACTACTAATTTGCTTTTGCAAAGAATCTCGACATTATATGAATCGACCCTAAAATGCGTTGACTCGGGACATTTGTTCTCATTTCCATTGAGGAATGCATGAAGAGTTGCTGCACTAAAATTACTGTCTTTAAAAGAAAACATTAAATATTAATTTCAAAGATATTGACATAGTTATAGATACAGATACAGAGAACAATAATACTGATACAGTTAAATTATAGTTATAGTTACGGATAAAGCTACAGAACAAGATACATCTAGATACAGCTGTAGACAAATACATATAAAGAAACTCACATAAATACAGCCACACACACCCACACATCCACATCCTCGTTCACATTCAAGTACAGGTAAACGTGCATGTACTTGTGCACATACACATACACTTACGTAAACACACATAAAAGATACAGTTCTAGAAAAAAAATACAGAATACAAAATTATTACATATTTTGTTGTTTTCACATGGAGATTAATCTATCATTTACACGACCCACCTTTATGAAAAAAAGTTATTCTAACAGAAATAAAATAGGTCTCCGCCTTAAACTTGATGTGTACAAAATTTGTTGAATAGCAACTGCCGTTTTCGCGTAAATGTTGTGGGTATATTTCATTCGCCAAAAACATAATATCTCCTGTTTTAATTAAAGAACGTTGATTAATGACATGAGTATGTTTATTAAGAAGAATATATATATATATATATATATATATATATATATATATATATATATATATATATGTATGTATGTATATATATATATATATATATATATATATATATATATATATCGATGGTCTCGGTCGCAAACCGTCTAACTCAAAAAAATTCGATTTTCTTTTTTTTACATAAATCAAAAGCCAATATGATTCCTCATAATGCCTGAAAATATTAGAGAAATCTGTTGAATGATTATTGAGATATAATCAGTTGAACAAACCGCTTATTATTTCTAGCGCTAAAAATCTCGGCGCAAAACGAATATCGCTATATTTGTCAGTACACTTTTGATCGGGAACGCAGTAGCACGCCGTAATCACACAATTTTGCAGCACAGCAGTCACAGTACTTATAGGTAAGGATATTTGATTAATTATGTTCAACTATTCTATTACATTTTGTTATTTTAAGAATAATAAACAAATAGTATTTGTTTAATATAGCCTATTTCCAGATTATCAATAACCAAACTGATTTGTTTACAATTTTTTAGGCTAACACAATACTTTGAACCTAGATCTTCATTCTAGAATCTAAATATAAATCAAAACAATATTATTCGAATTATATTTCCACAAGAATGTGCAATAAATTTAATTATTGTTAATTCACTACTAGCTTTAGATTGAGGGTTTAGATACGTGTTAAGAAATGTTTTTTATGGTAGGTTACAAAATGTTTGGCGTACATGTTTAACGACATGGTTAGTTGTCTTTAGTAAATGCTTTTATGATTAATTTTAGAACAGACAAGCATATCTCAACACACCAGCCTCTCTCAACATACCAGCCTCTCTCAACATACCAGCCTCTCTCAGCATACCAGCCTCTCACAACAGACCAGTCTTACCACATAACAGACCAGCCTCTCTCAACAGACCAGCCTCTCAACATATCAGTCTCTCTCAATAGACCAGCCTGTCTCAACAGACCAGCCTCTCTCAACAGACCAGCCTCTCTCAACACACCAGTCTTACCACATAACAGAACAGCCTCTCTCGACAGACCAGCCTCTCTCAATAGACCAGCCTCTCTCAACATATCAGTCTTACCATATAACAGACCAGCATCTCTCAACAGATCAGCCTCTCTTAACAGATTAGCCTCTCTCAAAAGACTAGCCTCAATCAACATATCAGCCTCTCTCAACATACCAGCCTCTCTCAACAGACCAGCCTCTCTCAACATACCAGCCTCTCTCAAAAGACCAGCCTCTCTCAACATACCAGTCTTACCACATAACAGACCAGCCTCTCTTAACAGATCAGCCTCTCTCGACATACCAGCCTCTCTCAACAGATTAGCCTCTCTCAAAAGACTAGCCTCTCTCAACATATCAGCCTCTCTCAACAGATTAGCCTCTATAAACAGACCAGCCTCTCTCAACAGACCAGCCTCTCTCAACAGACCGGTCTTACCATACAAGACATCAGCATCTCCCAACAGACCAGCCTTTCACAACAGACCAGTCGTAATATACAAAAGACCAATCTCTCTCAACTGACCAATCTTACCCTCCAAGATACCAGCCCCTCTCAAAAGACCATTCTTACCATACAAGAGACCAGTCTCTCTCAGCAGACCAGTCGTAATATACAAAAGACCAATCTCTCTCAACTGACCAATCTTACCCTCCAAGATACCAGCCCCTCTCAAAAGACCATTCTTACCATACAAGAGACCAGTCTCTCTCAGCGGACCAGTCGTAATATACAAAAGACCAATCTCTCTCAACTGACCAATCTTACCCTCCAAGATACCAGCCTCTCTCAACAGACCATTCTTACCATACAAGAGACCAGTCTCTCTCAGCAGACCAGTCGTAATATACAAAAGACCAATCTTTCTCAACTGACCAATCTTACCCTCCAAGATACCAGCCTCTCTCAACAGACCATTCTTACCATACAAGAGACCAGTCTCTCTCAGCAGACCAGTCGTAATATACAAAAGACCAATCTCTCTCATCTGACCAATCTTACCCTCCAAGATACCAGCCTCTCTCAACAGACCATTCTTACCATACAAGAGACCAGCCTCTCTCAAAAGATTAGTCTTATCCTACAATAGACAAGCCTCTCTCAACACACCAGTCCTACCATACACCAGCCTTTCTCAACAGATCAGTCGTAACATTCAATAGACCAGCCTCACATAACAGACATTAGACACCATTCTCTCTCAAAAAGACCAGCCTTACCATACAAGAGACCAGCCGCTCTCAAAAGACCAGTCATAACTATCAAGAATTCTATGCAACGGATATTCGTGCACTGCAGTACACGCCTGATGCTACTGTCTACTTCAAAGTGAATTAGCAGATAGCTGGCAATTGCTAAGCTAGGGTCATAAGATTATGATCTCATCTGTAGCCCCTGTCAAGTTGTACAAGAGCAGAAAAAAAGATAAAAGTCGTCATATTTGAGCACCTAAAAGCAAGTAATAAACACACCTTTTTATGATGATTTCCCTGATTTTAAAAATATGTTGCCATTTTGATGTTTCTTTATGTGACGTTTATTCAAACAATAAATTTTAAAAATAAACACATTTTTTGTGTTACATTTTTGTAAAATAAGTAAACATTAAGTCAGTATTAATGTGATTAGTGTGTTATGTCTCATTCATAATATATCTGACAATACAGTTTCTGTTTTTACTATTATCATTCTACAAACCCAGCACCCACCAGATTAAGTAAAATAAACTGTGAGAATAGAAAGATTTAATAAATAAAGCATAACCTTTAACAGTTAACAAGTCTAGTGCTAATCACAGACATAATGAATACAGTCGAAAGCGATAAGGCCATACTAAAACATCTCTACTAAAAATTAAACTGACCCCATTATGTAGAATAAACTCAAATAATTAAAATATGAGCCCAAAACTATAATCTAAATATTATGAAGTGGTAATTATAGCTTAAAAACATAAACATAACTAAATCACGTTCATTGGACAAAACGAACGAACGCGGCTGAGACCGAAATTCTCGGCTCAAAACAGCTAAGTCTGCGCGCGCTCAGATAGACGGTTTGCACCGAGAATTTTAGACCGAGCAAACCGTCTATCTTTTTAAACCTGCTATAATTGTGTAAATATCACCAAAACCCATTTTAAAACGCTACAGTATAGTCGGTAGAGAGTTTCTTCGGAGATATCATTAAAAAAAATTTGTATTAGAGCAATGGAGAAGGAAATAATCAGTTTTTTGTCTCTCCTGTAAAATTTACATTTTCGGAGTTAGACGGTTTGCGACCGAGACCATCGATATATATATCAAGATTGTATAGCATTGTAAACTGAATGTTATATTTCTTATTTGTTTTAGAATGTTGCATAAGATTTAAAATCCTTTTCTTTCTGTTGGCGGTAGACTTTCTTCGACTGAGCTATGCTCCCTCTCCCCCCACCACCCACCCCCTCCGAAAAGATGCCTGGAAGAAACTCTGTTAGTGATAGATTATATATATATATATATATATATATATATATATATATATATATATATATATATATATATATATATATATATATATATATATATATTTCGAGATTGGATTATAGAATTGTAAACTGAATGTTATATTTCTTATTTCTTTTAGAATGGTGCATAAGTTTTAATTAATCACCAGTAAAAGTTAATTGAAATTATTTGCCATTACTTACTGTAATAACAACTTGGCCCAAACCAACCTTCTATACACCCATTCTCAGCCATTGCATCTATCGATTGAAAGAGTATGTTAAGAAACATGATATAGTTAGCAGTGCATATACTTTTATTTTAACGATACTATGATCTATTAACTAGGACAGTAAAATTGAAATTAGTGAGCAAATTTAACATTTTATTTTCAATAAAATACATTATTTTACATTTTAATTACATTTTCTTTATTCATTGAAACCTTTTATTTCAAGCCATACCAGTGAACCACACACGCAAAGTTTTATCAGTTGTTATATTAATCTTAAATAATAGTGTATTGAAATAAAAAGAGTTGTTATTTTACACAACCAAAACAAAAGATTTTGTATGTAAAAGGATACGTTTTCAGAATATTTAAATTCTTGTTTTGTATTCAATTATGATGTTAAATTATCCAGTAATTGTATGTCTATGAATAGCCATGACTTCGTTACAAAATAGAGCGTATCAAAAGGAAATAATATTTACCTATGCATTTACCTGGTAGTGACCACTCTCCATTATCTTGGCATTTTATAATTGCATTCCCTTCAACTTTATATCCTCTTCTACATTTCAAATGACATGTGGTACCGTTGCAAAACCTCCATTTTCCATTTTCTAATGTTTGTGGCGTTTTACATTTAGTTTCTTCGAATAAAATTTTAGAGTTAAAAAACAAAGAACAGTTTTTATTTTTATGTGTAATTGCCTATTTCTATAACGGAATATGCAATGCAGCATAATGAATGATTTTAGGCTAACACAGATATTTGAGATTTACCCGGAAGTCATGCCTTTAGTGCCTATTCCGCTTTCTTAAAGTAAAATACTAGATCATTGCTAGTATCACCGATACTGAAAACACGAAATTAATTGAGCACTATTCACGGAGGAGTATTTTAATTACGCTAATAATATAGTATCATTGTAGAGACGAATAAAAAACTAAACTTTTATGTTAGACTCTATTTGTAACGCTACAAATAAATAAACAAAGCTATTTTTTTTAAATTAAGCTAAAATGACGTATGTCATTTGAGTCAGTTGGCAGAGCGCAGTAGCAGCTTTTCAGGAAGTTTAGGTAATATAAACATGGGCTGTGGAGAAACTATCAATGAGAGCAGTAGAGAAGAGACGTTTTCTCGGGAACCTGACAAAAGTAGGAGTAGAGAAGAGACGTTCACTGGGGAACATGATAAAAGTAGGAGAAGAGAAGAGGCGTGGAGTTATCCGGGGAACATGACAAAAGTAGGAGTAGAGAAGACACGTTCTCTAGGGAACATGATAAAAGTAGGAGTAGAGAAGAGACGTTCTCTGGGGAACATGACAAAAGTAGGAGTAGAGAAGAGACGTTCTCTGGGGAACATGACAAAAGTAGGAGTAGAGAAGACACGTTCTCTGGGGAACATGATAAAAGTAGGAGTAGAGAAGAGACGTTCTCTGGTGAACATGACAAAAGTAGGAGTAGATTTTTGTTTATAACTGAAACGTAACATTTGAATCATTTGTATTAAATAATCTAATAATTACAAATTTAATATCATTAACATAATAAAACAAACGTAACTGTTCAATTACTAATAAATATAAACGATTTAGTTAAAAAAAATTATGTTTGTCAACAGTTTCATTTCAGTTATGTAATATATTTTAGTGTGTTTTAAAAATGGAAAACAATAACATGTCACTAATAGGCATTATATAATTATTTAAACGTGTTTACCAAACACATAAAATACTATTATTTTAATTGATGGAAATGAATGTCGTCTTTACCAACACAATTTCCCGGTGTTGTCCATTGTCGATTTGCTTGACAAGTGATAGTTTTAATTCCTTCAACGTGGTATCCTTTGTGACACAACAAAGTACAGCTACTTTTATAAGACATCTCGCAATCATCCCACCTGCTGTTGACTACATTAGGCGGTGTACTACATTTGACACCTGTAAAATACGAATGGCTGTAATCTACTTTAGGTGGTGTACTACATTTGACACATGTAAAATACGAATGGCTGTAATCTACTTTGGGCGGTGTACTACATTTGGCACCTGTAAAATACGAATGGCTGTAATCTACTTTAGGTGGTAAGCTACATTGACACCTGTAAAATACGAATGGCTGTAAATATACCGACATAAAAAATAAAAGCTGACAATAAAGTAAATGCTAATTAGTAAGCAGTTTTATTTATTTAGCATATTGTTGTGTTAATCTAATTAAAATCAATGTAAACTCATAGCTATTTAAGTCCTGAATGTTGATTTTACGAAGCACAGCATTAGACTACACATCATTTTGATAACTTTATTTTTTTCCATGATAACACACACTTAACATCTTCCTACATTATATGTATATGACGATTCCTTATAACTATCATTATCATGCTTTCCACACCCACAATACCAAGTGTTTTAATTTAATTTTTATCCAACTTTAAACATTGCGTAGTACCGGTGTAGTTAGAAATATCATAATTTTCCTCGAAAAACTACTATACATTATGATAAGGTATAATATTATTTTAGTAAGCAAAAACTAAATTTTATAAAGTGTTATGAATAAAAAGAAAATATACAGTAGAATTGAAATATATTGAGATGTAAACGTACTTTCCAAACATTGGATTCCCTCATAACCGGGCGCACAATTTAGGTTGATACAATCTCCAGTGCTTGGCACACATATTTCGCCACTACCGCAATTGCATCGTAGTTCACACTCCACACCGTAACTATTTACATCGCACATCATTTCTGTTCAATTATTTGTATTGAAATATTAATAAATTGGATTGAAAAGACGAATTTATTTAGTTCTCAAGATATCTCAAGATTATTTCAATATTTGATATATCATAAAAAGATATATGTATTTTACTCTTTGATTCGTTGGTATTAAAAGAATAATGAAGTTTAAGTTAGATTAGTTTATACAAATGTATTTTAAACCTATATTAGTCGGTTCGAACCACAATAAAAACACAATTTTAACCCTGTTAGCTGAAACGAAATTTGTATTTTAAAATAACATTGATTTTTACTAAACTAATTAAATTTACTTTTTAAAAAGGATTTTTTTCCCCCAAGTAATCAGGTGAACAAATAAATTAATTTTATTTGTCACCGTTGTGTTCAGAAGGTGTTGCCCACCGGACTATAATGTTGTCGTCCGGTTGCTTAGTCGCCGGCCGAATACGTTGCTGACACTGGCTCGGGCACTAGCCAATAAGCCGTCGTTATCAAGGTTATTTAATGATTCTACCCGAGCCAGCTACAATAAAATAATCAACGAGACAGAAGACCTTCTTAGTTTATGTTTTTTATTAATTCACTAAATGCTTGTTCCGCTGAGCGAGGCTTCCCTTAAATCGATATTGTCGGGATCGCTAGTACGAGAAAGCGAGACTATCTAGCCTGCCTGTATTTAACCCATGCCCTAGCCTCCCCCCCCCCCCTAGCTATTCTCACGGGACAATGCGCTCAAAATTTGTGAACCAACAAATTATCCCCCCTGGTGCTAACAACCCTGGCTACAGGTCAGTATAAAGACTACTATTGTCCTGTCAGAGCGTCAGTCTCTTTAAACACGTCACCTGCTGTCTATCCCTACGGTGTACCCTGTAATTATCTAGTGAACTAATACTCATGGGATTCTGACCCAACAGATGGCAACACTATTTCTATTCCATTTTAGTATCTGCTAAAAGTAAATACGAAATTTAGAACATTACGATTATAGAAACCTAAACAGTTTTCCTGTATTATCAATAATTTTTCATTAAAGTAAAATATGTAACCCAATTTGAAGCTTATTTAAATTGTATGTTTACATGTATAGTGTTTTATAAAGTATTAAACTGTCATGAAAACATGTTTCAATACCTCCATAAATCTCCACTTCACATAGTGTCAATGGGCTTTTAAAAGCGGAAATGGTGACTTGATCAACCATGGAACCGATGTTACTGATGTCATACGTTACGACGTTGTCTATTACCTCATTGTTTTGGTAGAAGTAAGTGGCACGATTTTGTGTCGTATCGTATCCTTTTACGGTAAAGTTTTTCAGATGCTCAGGCATCGAATCTGAAATAGAATATCTGAGAAGGAATCGTATAAGGGCAACGCTCCACGTCAAGATATATTTTTTATACCTGAACTCCTTTAAAATGTTTGTATTTTTGATTTAACTAATATAAGACAACATTAATTCGTTTTATTTTCACTTTCGTTCAAAATTTGCCCTTTAAAATACCTATCCAAACCATTTTTTTTACTTCGCAAGTTATTAACCAAAGCTTAAACAAGAACATGCATTGAACACTGTCTATCCCAATATTAATATTTGAAAATTATACTTTTAATGCTAAATAAAGTTACGGGGATGAAATAAAGCCTAGAGTACGTTATAAAAACTGATATGTAAGGATACACACTGTTTTTACCGTAAATCCAAAAAAAAAGTAAAGATAAACTCATATTCAAATAGTACGCTTTTTCTTTCGGGGGGATGAACTAAATTGTTCGGGAGACGGACACTGGCAAAAGAAAGAGAGTTAGAGAGAGGGAGGGAAGGATAAAGAGAGCAAAGGTGAGTAATATTTCTCTAACTTGTGTTGACAATGACAAATCTGCGAAAGATAGTTTTGTTTCGAAGAGTAAGTTGCCAATGCTGCATCCCGCTGCAAGTCGTTTGACTGCACGAGGAAAGTAAGGTATCACGGCTACCGTCAACAGCTTGTTCTGTATTCATCGAGTGACATGTCGGTAATTTGGGGGTCAATCCTTTCAAAGCGAGATTGCGACCTATGGAGTATATTATGAACTAAAATAAATCACATGGGATAGGTTAAAAAAGAAAGTAACAAGTAAGGAGATTTAACATTGAAACAAAAGAGGAAGGTATGGCTAAACAAAACATTTTTTGTAGCAAGGAGTATCCGTATAAGAGAGCTCAACGTTTAATTTATGTCATAATTTATCTTATAATAAACAAAGAGAGAGTTTTGTAGCACTGCAAAAAATTGAAATCGAAACAGGACAGAAAAAAATGCAAACCACATACCCCTCACCATATACTTCGCCCTAAACAGTGCCCCATGCCAAAAAACACACCGAATACCACACATTATAACAAACACCAACGAATCACATGTCAACTACTTAAACAGTAAACCCACACACCTCGGCCCACAACACCCACCCTCCCAGTTAATAAACCAAGATAAAACTAAATTTGTTTGTAAGAAAAGTATTCTTTAATGTGTAACCATTGAAAAGACAAGAAAAAGGCTATTTTTAGTGACAGAAATATTACTTTATGTAATATTATTTTCTTTTTTTTCAAAATTAGATGCATAAAAGATTTGATTTGTGAACAATTTATTGTAATACAAGCGAAGTTTTTTTTTGTAATGATAAATTAACACATTTTACGGAAAATATGTCTCACATGGTACTAGTATATTGTTATCTTTATGTCAAGCGTTCACTAACCTTTACAACCAGGTTAAACTATTTAGATGTTTCATACGTCTTCAATCGTCTCTACTCCACTATAGGTCACTGTACTCCATCTACTACGTTCAACTCCCTTTCGCTCTTTTCAATTTATTTCTACTAGT